TAGATCTATATATAAAGAGTTATCACCAATTTGGTATGGATCATTTAGATGTACCACATGCTAAAAAATTTTTAGTTTCAAAGTTTGTGTGATCTATTTAGGGATATTAGAGTGATTTCTAGGTAAAACGCAAAGAATAAAAGTTATTCATCTATGTGTCTACTAGTTCTCTGTAACATTTTATGATTTATAGAATTATATATAAAGAGTTATGGCCAAATTGGTATAGATCATTTGGATATACCACTGCAAGAAATTTTTGAGTTTAGGAAGAGGGATTTTCGAAATTTAATGAAAAGAAATGAGTTTAGGTACTTAAACTTGATTAGTTAAGGTGTTTAGTTGACCTAAGTATTTATTAAGACACCTAAGCCACCTTAATATAACTATATGGATTTGGAAGATATATATGATTGGGCTTGGATTTAAAATAAAGTGGACTTGGAATAAAACACATGGACTTAGTCTAAAACAAAGTGGGCTTGGACTAAAATAAAAAGGGGTTTGGATTACAATTAATGGACTTGAGTTAGAATAAAAATGGGCTTGGATTAAAACAAAATGGAATTGGATTAAAACAAATGGACTTGGGCTTAGATTAAAAATAAATAGGCTTGGACTAAAATATAGTGGTCTTGAATTAAAATAAAATGGAATTAAATTTAAATAAATGAACTTAGGTTTGGATAAAAATAAATGGGCTTGGACTAAAACAACATGATTTTAGATGAAAATAAATGAACTTGGATATCCTAAGAACACTTAGTGGGCCACAGTACTAAAATGATCAAGTTAGTTCATACCATGAAAATATTGATGAAGACCCAAGTGTAAATTGAATTTCTAAAATGGTATGGGCATAAATAGTTTGGTGCCTATGAGATATGAAATGTGGCTCATGATACATGAAATGGATTAACCATATTAGACGAGTCTTGAATTCCTTATGTGAACTCAATGGTTCGGAATCGATGGGTTTAGTACCTATGACTTGGTGGAATATGGTTCATGATACATCACATGTATCATATGCATATGGAAATGGATTAAATTAAGAAAAACCATTGATTCAAAAATGATGAGATTTGGTAACCGAATTGAATAGAAATTGGATAGATTTGATAACCTACTTGGATAAAAGGGGTACTAGCGGTCCAGTTGTGTGCGTACTCTAAAGTTGTGTGCACTGCACTATTAGACGATGGATTCCCGCTAACGGTGGCTATAACGAGGGATGATTTCATTGTAGTAGAAGGTGAGCTGCAGTTCACTTGGATTAAATATAGAATAGACTTGCTAATACCCGGGGTACCCAAAAATAAAATTTGATGAGTCGAAGAAGGAAAAGTCGGAAAATCATTACATATCACGTGCATCACCCTACTTACTAAGCTTCGACTCACTCGTGTTTATTTCATGCTTTGACGAGTAAAGGTGATACTAATGCTAATAATGAAGTTGTCGATTCCTTCCAAAAAAAGGCTCTTGTGTGACGCGAAAAGGAAAAAAAAATTATAGTATCTACCTTTGCTTGTAAAATTACATTTTGTAATTTTTGTAATGATATTCGGTACATTGGGTATATGTATGGGATTAAATTTGAGACTTCGATCTCTAAACCGTGGTGCACCCAGTCACTCCTTTTAGGTAATCGGTAAGGGAGCTAGGGGCGCCACGACGAACTCTGTCACCATCGATATAGAAATTCGTCAATAATTTTTTGTTATTCTATCGCTAATTATATTTTTAAAAAATTAATATTTTTTAACATTTTGTTTGTTTATTTTTAAATTAATAATAGTCTATATAGTAATTGACAATCGAAGAAACAATGTATAATTTAAATATTATAAATTAATAGTAACAAAAATATTCGGTAGTACATATGAAAAAAACAAAGTAAAAAAATGAATTGTCACTTCGATTGTCATCTTGATCGTCTAATCCTCTATCCTCCTTCTAGGACTCGTTAAGGGGCTCGATGGTAGGTTGGGTGGGAGGCTCGATAAGGGGAACAATGGAGTCCTTACTAGTAAACAAATCTATAGGTAACACGGACGTTTGTGCTAGCTTAATCAATATGGAGGTCATTGTCCCATATTGAGAATTAAGTCTATATATAGTATTTTGCTATTCTATGATAAGGTTTTAAAGCTCGTGTTGTTTGACTTGCATCCCTTTCATTGCTTCTTTTTCTCTTCGTACTACCTTCGAGCTTCCTCATTAGAAATATCACCGGTATAACATGACAACACGGAGAAGGAACTGTCGCCACTCGACTAAGATAATACACTATATATTTACTTACATCATATACCCTCTTTTTTTCTCTCCTGCAACCTTGAGGTATATGGCATTCTTATCACATCTAGCTTCAAGATTCCGTCCGCCTGCTTGAATCGTAACAACTTCTTATATGAGCTCTTCGACATGTTTCTACTTAATTGAAATAATGATATCGTTAAAAGATTAAAATAAAATTTAGATTATATTTACATATATAAAATTTAAAATTGAAAAACACTTACCGTTATTTAATGGGAGCACAAATCGATGAAAGAACCATCTTGCCATTTGTGAGTCGTCCGAAATAGCTCTACACTCATTGGCTCACGACCCGATCTTGCCTCTTAAAAAAAATAAATCACAAACAATATGAGATAAAAATTTAAATTTTCTAAATCATATAATTAATAATATAAAGTGTGCAATTTACCAAGCGATAAATGTACTTTTCGACGAGGTGATGTCCCCTTTATGCCTAGAAGGACTCGTACTATAGCCATCGATCTCCCACAACCGATTCTGGTTTGCTTGCTTTAAATAAGTCTTGTGATCGGGTTTTGCAAAATCTTGTTTCCACACATCCAAGACCTCTTTCTTACTAGAGCTTCCCATGCTTCTATGATAAGTGCCTCGATGGTCAAATTCCGGTTAAAATATTTACGCATGAATAAATAAGTTAATATTAACAACTTTATTTAATGAAAAATTTTTATTTTAATTATAAAAAATTAATAATACATTATCCTAAATTTATCGAAGTAGAATTGTTCGGTAAGGTTTGAGATAGACTTCCACACCGATCTATCAATGCTCAATCGCAACTTAAAAGTCATGGTTATCATCGTGATATAATCTTTACTAGTCGGAGTGAAACTATCAAATATCAAAAGAAAAAAAGAAAATTAAAAAATAGTAAAAAATTATTGAAATGTTATATTAAAAAAATAATTACTTCGAATTTAATTAATTACATACCGTCCTCGAGTGATAGAAATATGCCACCGACTAGAGGAGTTTTAAGAACTATCTAAATGCTAGATACATCGACGGATGGTGCACTCTCTAAGGTCGACATTAGAGCCTCTAGTATGGGTGCAAGAACCTTCGATGTAGGTACGAAAACCTCGATGCTTGGTGCGGGATTACGTCCGAAGGGTGTATCCTGTATGGTCGAAGTCGCTATTTATGTATTACTTCTATGGCTACGGGAGCTACGGGACTTGTGTAAAACTCGATAGTCGGAGATTCGTTACCAATGTGAGTGGGGGATCTTAGTGGGCTACCATTGGATGGTGATGCTCGTCCATAACTATGAAACATAATCCCATAGTGATCGTGGGGGTCGGCCCAAATCATAAGTCGTTATTGAATTATATAAGCTTAAAAAAATAAATAAAATATAACAAAAAATATTATTAGTATGAAGCAATAAAAGAAACTCAAAATTGGACATTTCCTAATTACCCGATAAACAACCGAGTTTTAAATACAATACAATCAAAATAAACAAGCAAGTTTTTGAAGATGTATCAAAATCGATATTATTTACTGCATGTAACAAATAAAGAAAAAAGGCATCTTTTGTTACTAATACAACAAATAAAATATATATTTAATTAGAATTATCATAATTATTTTTTAGGTTATCATCTCCATAATTTGATATATTTTCACTCGGATTCTCATCATCTTCGTCAAGCTATAACTATTTCTATATCTACAAACGATCCATTTGGATCATTTAACAAAATAGCATCCTCGACTTCTTCTATCAATTCGTGTCGATTTTCGGGTCATCCTCTTAAAATGGTTCGGTATTTTATTGGATGGCGACTGATAAATCGGGTAAGTCAACTACATACCTACCTTTGATCTTACAATAGCCCACCAATCTCGGTTCTCGTGCCTTAAGCTAGGATACTTGACATAATACACACGAGTCGACTGTGATGGTAGGATAAATGATTTGTAATTGTTCAAGCTTCTCTTACAGTTAACATCCATAAGTTTATATTGTGGATAAACCCTTATTCCTTGTGATGTAGGATCAAACCAATCATATTTGAATAGTATTGTTCTCTTGATTGGTAAATTTGGATACTCTACTTCAAGAATTTTCGTCAATATCCCATAATAGTCACTCTTAGTTGTATTGTACTTGGTTCTTTTAATATAGACTCCATTATTAAAAGACTATGTTTTCGAAGATCCCTCGAGTGTGTGAAACTTATAAGTAAAGTCTTGTAAGTATGGGCAAGCCTGAGATGCCTATGTTTGCTTTCCATAGAAAAGATGTCTTCGGCTTGTGCTTTGGAGAGTTTGTCTATTATTTAATACCCTAAATTCCTTTTTCTTTTCATATTCACTTTGATAGTTAGAAAAGAAAAAACACGAGAGAAAGAGAATAAAAGTCCATAAACCTTTTAGTCGAGCCACATTCTAAATGTTCCATGAACTTCCATCCGGAAAGAGCTTTCTACCAAAAGGAATTCAAAATGCTTTCTTATCATAGTGGATATGATTGCTTTCTTTTCTAGAACTCTATCCCTCAATCCGCAAAGGCCTATCTTTATGAAGAGTGCTCACATAAGAGAAATTATACATGCAATTTCTCTTTATCCCAAGCTAATCTATCACACAATCCTTTGTTCCATTTTAAAAGTAAAGTTTGATTTTAAATTGATATCTAGTTGTAGTATAGTGTAAGGTAAGGTTGGGTATAATAAGACTTGAACTCCGTGACCATTAGGTTAAAAGCCTAATTCTCTACCAACCGAGTTATAGACCACTAAGCAATGGGCCTTGTGCAAGATCTTTCAAGAACTAGTCTCTCATGAAAATTGCTTGTGCATTTTGTATTTGTAAATTCAACATCAAATTTCTTAAAAGTTTAGTTACCTTTTAATTAATGCAACTAACATATTAAATACAAATAAAATGATAATACTCATATATTGACTAAATCAAGATGCAAGCCGAGCTTCAATTAGAGCATTAGCTTTATTCTCGGATATGATGGGATTTTTTTTTATCACATTTCAACAAGAAATCCATTAAAGAGGACTAACAACAAATGTGAGTCGATGTATATTATGATTGTTAATATTATTATATATATAATTAAATATGTATAATTTAGAAATTAAATTTGGACAAACTCACTCAATGTATAGTTCAATAATATACATTGATGGGCTACTTTGTGTTCGACTTGTGTCAATTTACGTATTATATGTTCGATTTTATTATTTGAATACGGATAGCATCCCTTCAATATGATTAATTTCTTCTCCACTACACTCAACATTATGTAGTACTTTTTGATGTCTAGTATACATATGAGGCTCAAAATAGTGCGAGCAAAACAAAGAGGCTTCTTCAACTAAATATTTGATCCTTCCACTTTAGCCTTATTTTTTATATTATTTTTTAGCTTCCATAGATACCTATAGTATAAATTATTTTTATTTTCAATAATTGAAAATTTATTTAATTTTACATTTAAATTTAATGTCAATCCCTTTCAAATGGATATATCTATTGATATTGCACGAGTCGCGTAATAGATGCCTTATATGACATATGGATTGGAGGTTGTTCCATAGAGTCAAAAAGGCTGAGTGTGAATATACGCTCTAGTTTAAAAAAAAAATGGATATCTTATCATTAAGTCGGAGCATATCTTCTTCTCTTATCACCTGTAGAAGTCAATTGCTTGAAAATTAAACTCAACTCTATAAGTATTTACTAAACATTTCTCAATAAAAACTCTCAAAATGTAATTGGAACTAACCTCCGCATAAAAACATGGCGAGTCATGACTTTTCATCTCATAAAGTTTGTCATGTCGCATATCAACACATTTAGCTAGAGTTGGACATATATCCAATGGGAAACCTAAGATGCTTGATCAATTTAAGCAATTTTGTTTTATGTTGTTTAGATAAAGTATAAGTAGGTTTAGGATACTTCCTAGATGCACCATCCTTTGCTAATTCTAGCCTTTGACGGAAAAGTTTTAAGTCTTTTTTAGAGTTGGTATTATCTTTAGTCTTACTTAGCATATTCATGATTGTGTTAAAAACATTATCAAATATAATTTTTCTTAATATGACATCTAAATTGTGTCGAATGAGATTTGTACTCCAATAAGGTATATCCTAAAAAATTAGTTTATTTTCTCCATCCAAACATCTAAAAATTCTACTCGTTATGATTATCCGCACTATCTTCTATCACTTTCAACAACCTCCAATGTTTCACCATATGTAACAACTTAGCTTCGATTGGATTATAGAAGGGTCGACCTAACAATTTTTTTTTGTAATGAATGCTTTTTTTGTTTTTTTTATATGGATGATTATTAGGAAAAAAATTTCGGTGATTGTCAAACCACGAGGTCTTCTTTTCATTAAGAAGAGAGAAAGCATCTAAATTTTTCATATAGTAAGGACAAGCTTGTTTTCTTGTAGTACTCCAACCATGTAGCATCAAATATATAGAAAAGTAACTAATAGTTCACATAACTACAGCTCTCAATAAAAAAATTTACTTATGATAGACATCGTAGGTCATCACACCTACTTTCTATAATCGAATAAGTCGAAATATAAAAGGTTGTAAGTAAACATCCAACTTATATTTTGAATTTATTAGACCCAAAATTATCAATGTTAAGAACATATATTCCTCTTTCATACACATATAGGGCTGTAAATTGTTAAGAGTCACAATTATCGACCATGAAAAATATTACACACTTGGATTGATCGAATGGGTAAAACCCGTGAATGCACACTTCGATCTATGTTCCTTCTTTCAACTACAAAAGGAACATTAATTTGATTGAAACTTTGCCATGCAATAGAATCGAAAGGATGACATATTACTCCTGCATCATCTACCTCATGTTCGGTGTGCTACATCATGTGCTCACTTATGGCATTCGATACATACAATTACCGCAAATGTGGGGTTATGAAAAAGTAATATATATTTTTAATTGGAATAAGTTTTGCTCTTGTCGATCATGAATGAAAACTTCAATATCAAAGATGTTGACGAACTTATATTTATCTAATTCATTGTCTTCCTTCAAATAGATCATATAGCCGTTCGACAACATTTTCCATAGGTAAACCCATTCTCTTAAACGACTTTTTTGTTTTGTAAAAGTTATATGTCATATAGTTATTAGCCGACATCAACTCCTTCATCGACTCATATAACTAGTCGAAACACTTTTTTGAAAAATGATATTCGGCTTTTAGATTCGGCATTCGAGAACTGTTGATAATTGCGAGTGCTCATCACAAGCGAGTCAAATCTCTCTACAACATACATTCGAGCATATCATAAAAGTGTTGCGCGTCGAGATTTGGAACCTCCTTCATGCTAGACGGATCAAAAGATGGACCGATTGTATCATTACCATAGTTTGATATGGGTTTTTGGATTCACTAGAACTACCTTCACCTACATAATAATTTCAAGAAACATAATGACTCCTAGAATCAATAGATGCCATGTAAAACTCAAATTCTCCATGATGTATTCAAGAATAATATCCATGCACAAAACCTTTATGGCACAAATGATATTTTACCATTTCAAGCTTCTCATAATTTCGTTTTGACACTTACCGTAATTACAAGGACGCCTAATTTTGGTTTCGTCCATACATTCAGGAAACTCAACAACAAAAGCTATAAATTGATCTACCCCTTTAACAAAGTCATTATTTAACTACCTGTCAATTAACCTAATATTCATCCATTGTCGATCGGATCTCATTTTTGTAATTGCTACAAAAATTACACAACACATGCAAATAATTATTTATCAACATTCTTATGAATTATAAATAAAATTAAGCATATATATTGTTTTGTAATTAAGCTTACTTATTAGGAATTTTATTTCAAGAATTTGACTTTATATTTAATTGATTGTTTAAAGAATGATTACATCTTCTTTCTCTTTCTTTTTATTCTTAAATATTTAATTTAGAAATATTGAATGATTGATTGTATAATTTTATTTTTTTTACATGTTCTACCCTAACTTGCTATTAGTACACCTATTTTCACTTTATTTCAATCGAGTTCTTGAACTTTGATTTTTTTTAAAATTTTTTTTTATGCTTGTCTTTTTTTTATTATACAATTAAATGCTTTCATTAAATTTTATTTTCTCTAATAAAAGAACCCTCCAAAACATAATATCATATTTTATAATTAAAAATATTTTAAATTAAATAAATTATATTTAACAAATTCTATCAATTAATGAAACGTTATCTACATCGAAGCTAAAAATGTTTATGTTTATTAAATTTTTTCAATTAATTTCATAATAAATTCAACTAAACATAATTAAATTAATCCTAAATAAAAGTTTTATTAAATTTTAACATTATTTCAATTGAGTTAATATTTATATATCAAAATTAGGTTTTTTTTTGGATTAAATATTTAATTATAACATTTTGATTATAGAACAATTTTAATTTTTTATTTGTCGAAAAGTGGAAGTGAACAATTCAATGTTTGTTGATAGCAAAAAAAATTTAAAGAAAGAAAAACAATAAATTGTTTATGTTTGTTTGATTTTGTTCACATAGAGCTATAATGTTGGTTTATACTTTACTTTATTAAAAAAAATATATTTTTCTTTCATATTTATTTCTTTAAAAATTAAATAAAGTGAAAGAAAGAAAAACGACGGATTCTTTGTTTGATTGAATGTTGATCATTATGTTGTCTTTCTTCATTTTTAATAATTAAGCTATAATAATGACTTCTAGCATTTATATTCGAACTAACCATAAATCAAATTAATTTCATTAAATTAATCACATCTAATTACATTAATCAAAATTTAAATATTATTTAAATTTAAAAATAAAAAAAACAAATTAAAAATATTAACCTAAAAACTAATTAAAAAAAACATAACAAATTAACAATAAATTAAAAACATTTTAACGAACCAATTAATAAAAATAAATGAACAATTAATCAATCAATTTATCTAAATTTCCTAAAAATTACATAATTAAAATTTAACCTAGCACAAACAACTAATAAAATTTAACTAATAATTAACACAAATAAATAATTAATTAATTAAAAAATTTAAAATAACAATTAATAATTAATTAACTAAATTTTAACTTAACAATTAATAACAAATAACTTAACAATTAATCAACCTTATCTAAATTACGTAAAAATTACATAAATAAAATTTAACCTAACACTAAGGAGTTATTTGATAACCTATTTAAGTAACTTAGAAAATTAAGTTAAGCTACGTAATATAAAAATTTTGTTTGATAATCTAAATAATCTCATATTTAGAATTTAGATTCAATCAAAATCTACTTAATTAGATAAGTTAAAATTTTTAACTTATTACTTTTTGATTAACACGTTCAAGTGAAACAATTATAAATTTTTTAAAACTTTTATAAAATGACCATACAATCCTTCGTATATTTTAAAATTTATAAATTCTACACGCTAACATAGGAGATATGAAACAACTTTATTGATTCATGGTGAAAATCTTTCTCTTTAAAAAAATATTATAAATTTACAAAAGAACTTCTCCCTTAAAAAACTACTTTCTGTTCCCTCCCACAGCCCACTCCTCAGACGCGTACATCACCCTCTCCTTCTCTCCTATGGGCCTTGTGATATCCATAGCTCCTATAGATCGAAAGAGATAGAGAAATCACAGAGAGATTTTCCAAGCCGGCCAGATCGTACCCTATCTCCCACATTA